GAACGTACCAAGCGATTGGCAAATCAAATGATCCTGAATTCAGGATACGTAAAGATTTTCAAAAAACACTGCATTCTATAAACCGTTAAAATAGGACAACCACATTGAGCGCATAAAAAGACTTCACTTGTACAGTATATAATGAATCTTATGACTTATCAAACCCATTCAGTCAGTTCATCTATAATTGTTTTTATTAAATTGATTAAACAGAGTTGACTTCCTAGCAGTAGTAGCACTGGATGAGGCGCGAGTAGCACTGGATGAGGCGCGACTCGACGAACTGGTAAACTTCTGACTACTAGAGTAGGTAGATCTCTGAGCAGCTGCTGTCGAGCTAGCAGCATTCTTTACATTCTCTAAATTCCTGCTGCCAACATTGCACGTGCTCACGTTCTTACTGGTCTCCACATTGCACGTGGGCACGTTTCTATTTCCCTCATTACACGTGGTCATGGTTTGTACATAAGAGTTGTCTGATAAGGAAACGTCCATGTATGACTTATCAGTGAGGTCCTCTAAGAGTTTGTAGTAGTGAGGTCCCTTGTTCCTCCTCACATTCACCCATATTGGGGCTCTCACCCCGAACCCATCATCAGCTAACTGCAGGTAATCATCCTCAAATATCACCTGGGCCCCCTCAAAGTGTGTTCTGATACAAGTTGTTACTTTCCTGATATCCTTGTCGTTAATGTTCCGGGTACCAGAGTTCCTGAGCACGAACACAGGGTCCTCACCCAGTTCTGTTGAAACTGATCTGATGTAGTCCAGACAGTTTGCAGGGAGTCTCTCTACAAACCAGGTCCTCAGCAACCTCCTACCATCTGCCAGCTTACATTCCAGGTTTATAACGTCCTCTAGGGGTTTCAGGGGTGCACGTCTCGCTCTAGAATCAAACTAACACTGTCCTTATACTTTACAACCGCGTACCCTGTCTGCGTTTTAGAGGGTCGCACTGCTTTGGGCCCCACTCTCACCCAGCAGCCTCGCACCAGAGCCAGGAACCCTGGCTCAATGTTATCATCAGACTCAGACACATCTTCAGCTGTACACTCCTGACCAGGACATGCTGCAAACTTTACTGTTTTGGTAGGGGACTGAGCAGGAACGTATGGTATAATAGCAGTTCCATTAGGCACTATCAGACGACAATCTCCTGCTCTAACTGTGAATTGTCCTGGAACCTGTTTCCTGGGTTTGAACTGTTTCCCAGTCACCACGTACGACACGGACTCTATAGTCAGGATGTACTGTTTGTCCGGGAACACTAAAGTTCCGTTTATCACCATGGGGATGGGACTAGTAGAGTTCATCTCCACTGCTCTACTGATGTTGTTAAAAGTGGGGTTGATGTACGGGGTGTTGGCTGTGTCGGTGCGTGCAGGACTCACCGGGGTATCGTTAGGATTGAGAGAGTTGGTTTGTTTGATGTGACTCTGAGGATTGTATGTAGAGATAGTGAGAGGGTTTGTGAGCTGGCTGCTAAGGTGAGGGTGATTTGCTCTTTCAGTAGGGAGCAGGACGAGGGGATTGGTCCCTCTTCTTGCAACTTGTTGTCCCACGCCAGGGTCTGTGAGCCCCAGTAGGGAAGCGTACTGTGGTTTGAGTTGTCCCTGTGGATCATACAGTGAACTGAGAGTCACAACTCCGGGAGGAAGCTCCTCTACTCCAGGAGTAGAATCACTAGAGCTCAGATAGTTGAGGTCCTTCAAACTAGGGTGTAGAGTGTAGTCTGGAGACACTGACCTCTGCGTCCGAGCGGCGTGCTGTTCCGGAGAGATCGGGTGAGGGTGTACGGGGGACGAGCATGGAACATGGACTGGAGAAATGGTTGTGTTCTGAGGGTCAGGATAGTTTCCACCACCAGGCAGTGAAACAGGAACTACACTCACTGCCTTCACGATATACTTCTTGTTGTTGAATATCACCACATACCGTCCCGGCCTTCTCTTGCTGGGTCTAACATTGTTGTCTGGGAGTAACCGCCACTTACCATTAAGATAAATTCTGTAGAAACCGGTGTTCTTAGGTGTCACCTCGTCCTCCTCAGGTGACACTGGGCGGATGAAGTAGGATTTGTAGAGCTCGTTATCTATCTTCACTTTAACATACTTCCTATCTCTCTTCGTCTGGATAAACTTGCCTGACACAATGATAGTGGTGTTGTTCTCCAGGAGGGCGGAGTAGAGGGAGTCAGGGAGTATCTGGATATTCTTGAAGACTGATGGGTTCACGTGGGGAGAGATGGAGGATGAGGTAGTGGTCTCCTCCTCGTCTGGAGATGAGGAGGTGATCTGGATGGTCTTCTTTTCGTTAACTGAGACACTCTTCTTCTCCATCTTTTGTTGACTGGATGAATTGTTCTCTATCACTGTTGTGGTTCTGGAAGAACTCCTTAAAATTCCAGGAGGGGAGGTAGCAGGAGGAGGAGGAACGGGTTCAGGAAGAGGAGGTTGAGGAGGGACAGGCTCAGGTGGAGGAGCAGGCTGATCTGCTGCAGGGTTAGGAGTGCAGTTAGGACAGTGTAGAGGGAGTATGGTGCAGGATTGTGTCTGACAAGTACAGCTACCCAACTCCACCTTCTTCACTCCCTCCCTCAACACCTCCAAACTGGTATTATCAGTTGTATCTGAGTTCACTATCACTTTCAGGTCCACAATCTCGTGATACGTCTCATCGTACCACACCATACCAACCTTCCTGGTTGTGTGGCGCTGTATCATGGAGCCTGGCACTATCAGAGCACCTGCACTCCCCAGGTCTACATAATACCTCTGGTCAGGGAGAACGGACACTTCTTTAACAGTGAGGCTGACTGGAGTGTAACGCTCTGGTTGGTAGACGAATATATCTGTTATGATGGCGGAGTTGAAGTTAGCAAAGTTGACGATCAGTGAGTTAGGATCGTTTTTAGCAGGGTGTAGCTGGTAGCCGTGTACTATCTCCCAAACTGTATCTATCTTGACCTTGTACATCCTGTCTGAGTGGATGTTGAGACCCTTGAAAAGGAAGGGATAGTCTCTGTTTGAAAGAGGCACCGTGTTCTTAATAGGGTCGTATGGTTTCACTACCTCTTGAGAAGGAAGCTGTTGAGCCTGCTGGTTTGATGCAGGAGTGGGCTGCTGACTGATGTTATGTGAGGTTTGTTTGATAACCTCAGTGGTTGAAGTCTGCTGATGGTAGTAGTTGTTAGCAGGTGGTTGAGGTGATACTCTCCTCTTATCTGGAGAGGAAGGCTTGTAGTAAGGAGAGGGAGGTTTATATCCTGGAGAGGTAGGGACGTACCCTGGTGAGGAGGGTAGGAAACCAGAATATGAGGGTTGAGGGTAGGATGGTGAGTACCTAGGTGGAGAACGTCTAGAAGGAGAATACCTAGTGGGAGACCTTCTCTGGGGAGAAGAAGGACGGTCGTACCCTTGAAGAGAGGTGTGAGAAGTTGAGTCGGAGCTGACAGCTATGATCTGTGTAACTGTTATAGGAGAGGTAGGGTCCTGGTAGTATATCACCGCAGAGCCGTCAGGAGTCAGAGAGAGTTGGGAGCCTTGTACTATAACCCAGCTTGCCCTGATCAGTATCTTGTAGTACGAATGCGGGTAGACTGGGAGACCATTGTAGACAAATGAGTGGGTTGGTTGACCCGGTTGATAAGTATTAGTGGGTTGATTTGGCTGGTAGGGCTGACTAGGTACTTGGTGAGTGTTTGCAGGTGCTCCCTGCTGGAACGTCACCTCGTAAGGGTAGATCTCAGTGACAGTAACAAACCTGCCAGGTCCTTGACACATCAACACACACTGGTTCCCCGGATGGAGCTGAGATCCGAACACTACAACATACCTCCCACTAACTTGTATCTTATACCTCCTGTCCCGGTATATGGAGACTCCCCTGTAATAGAAGGGGTAGACAGTGTTGGGGAACTCTAATCTTTGGTCAGCAGCAGTGGTAGGGTACAATTCGTACACTCGGAGAGGGAGACTGGCCTTGTTGCTGAATATCAGGAAGTTAGGGTCTCCTGAAGGTTGGAGGTGAGCTCCTGATATCGTGACCCACTGATCATTTATACAGGTCTTGTAGAAGAGGTGGTGGTAGACGAGGAGAGATTTGAAGAGGAAGGGGTAAGTAGTGTTACCTTGTAACATGACGTTAACTTTCACCCTTTCTCCGGCTATTGGACTGGAGCACTTCTGACAGAACTCGTCGTATCTCTGGGAAGTGCCGTCAGGCAGCATAACATGAGCAGCTTCAATCTTAGACATGTAGTGAGATCTCACGGAACCATCCGGGTGAAAGACTTGAGATCCTGGAACGCAGTGAAACTGTTCACCTTTACAGATCTCAGAGTGCAGAGAGCTGGCACGGGAGTTGACACGTGACGAGGAGCGGGGTGAGCGAGGGCTCCTCCGGAGACTGGCAGAGGGAGAGGAGGACCTGTGAACACGGATAGAGGCTGAAGGAGAGCAAGGTCTAGAGCACGACATTAAACATATGAGTAGTGAGAGCTGGAGACTATAGAGATGTAGAGATATATTGTAGTGTACACTTTTACACGTGTGTAGACAGCTAGTGGACACGTGACATTTGATTACTTCATGTTAGCTACCAAAAATAAATACCGGTTTAGCTAATATTGTGGGAATTATGAGGATAGGTTGGTTGAACGGTGTTGACTGTCGAGAGCTACTTCAGTGTTTATTGATTCGAAGTGGAGACTTATACATCTACATGCATACAATTTTATACAGTAAACATTGTCCGACAGTATTATTTGGGAATGGGTATTTAATTAAAAGATCTATTTTGTTTTTGAATTTAAACATGAACAAATCATTGAATAAAGATATCGAGCATATCAAGTAAAAGTGACTTTTGAAATATTATAATCTTAACATTATATTGACAATTCACGGTAGGCCACCTTTCAGGCGGTCTATTCTCACGTACTGGAAAGTAGAAAAAATGTACGTGGTAAATGACCATATTTGGTAAAGACCAAAACAAACCTTATTATCAGTGTCTTGCTTCTTTTTCCATAGATACTCGACCAATACCTTCTTGAAGGTGCCCTCCTTCCAACTAGAAGAGATTTACTTGTGAGCGTTTTATTTTTATGACGGAGTGTGACATAAATAATCAAAGATATAACCAACAGAACAGTTAACAAAGTTGAAAAAAGTTCAACAAAGTTTAGCAAAGTTCAACAAAGTTCAACAAAGTTCAACAAAGTTCAACATTACATACCTTTTCACAATATCATGATACTGAGGCAGGTCACCCGGTTGTTTATACAGCGCCTGAGAAGGGATACTATCAATAACAGATTAAAAGGAGAAATAACAATCAGGTTCTGATTCATCAGAGTAAACAAACAATTATACTGCTGGGAAGAAGTGGTGAGTAACTCACCAAACCAGGAAGTCTAGGCTCGAGGAGAGGACACCCCAAATGTAACATTGACATGCTCGTCTGTTGGGCTCTAGCCTGCAAAAGGTAAATCATTTATTACATGCTGGCCCTACATTTCCTGGGTCAGAACATAATTGGTGAACTGATTTGGTTATATATTTCTGTTATTTTGAGATCCTGGCAAGCAGTGAGTAGATACATTTGTATTAATATCATTGGAAGAGTAAATCGTTGAGTTTGCTCGTTTGTATGCTAGCCTCTATCGAAATAAATTTCTTGAGTCGGGAACAAAAACAAAATTGAACTGACAAAGTAACTACAGGGATTTATGATGGTGAACGGTTGACTTGACTATGATTTCTGGAGGTGGCTTCACATTGATTTGACAGGTGATAATCGATTAACCAATCAGCTTACAGCTACAACAAATGAAAAAGGTGCGACCTGTTCTCAAATGTCAAAACGAAGTAATTGACCCGCCATAATAACCCACAATTTGACATACCTTGTTTTCTTCATATATCCTGTTAATGAGGTTCACATTTTCAGTAACCTCAGTCTTTCTAGGATTAACAGGGATAACCTCAACACCAGGAATACCAATGTTCTCTTGTTTCTGAAAATACAACTTTATTGCTTTTACAACTACTAGTCATACTAATTTAAACTTACACAGGGGCAAAACAACAGCGTGAACCAGGCACGACGAATAATAGGGGGAGAGCGCCTTTTTTAAAACGGACTTAGTGCGCTGTAGGTGTGAATGTACCGTGTATTTTCAGTGTTAATACACCTTGTAAGTACAGTTTTATATAGGAAATAACTTTCATACAATGGTCAATGGAATGTAGAGAAATAAGCATATTTACCACTGCTTATACAATTGAATTTGTGACTGATAAAAACTCCTTGAAAAACATTCTATTGCTAGCAAAGGTTTAGGATCTCGTGGCAATGGTTTAAGAATAAAATCTTGAATTAAATAGTCAAACCAAATAGTAGTACTAGATGTCTGTTTCCTTACCGCTAATTCCGTGTTCACTTTCTTGATAACTCTGTCCATGTCCACGATGTCCTTATCCACTTTCTCCATGGATGCAAGGATCTGTTCCATAGAGGGTGGCGGAACGGGAACAGGTGACCCAATGGGTGTGTAGGGCTGGGGTTCAGGGAGTGGGGAGCCTGAGGGGGTCTGGGGCTGGGTCGGGATTCCGATCATTGTTTGGTCTTCTCCTTCTTCTTTTACATGTTCTTCTTTTACATGTCCATTGTTCATGCTTAAATGAGACAAGTTAGACGTATCGTCAGATCTACATAAACAGAATAAATTGTCGCGTTAACTGTTTGGCGCGGAAAACTCAATTAATAGAGCACCGCGCTCGGCGCTGGGTTTTTAATCAAAACATGAAATTTGCCACCACACCGGGTGGGAGTGAAATCGAGCAATGCAATGCAAATAGGATCAGTAAAAACATCTGAAATAAATAAATTAAACTCTGAATCTACAAATAATGTTAATAAATTAACTCCCCTCAACACCCAACCTCTGTTCCGGAACATCTTCAACATGTACTTTCCTCTTTTTAAATCCCAACTCTCTCATATTCTCAACATAATGTTTAACTTTATCGTCAACAAAATGTCCTGAAATATCTTCAACAAGGGTTGTTTTATTCCACGCTTTTTTCGGCTCCTTAACTTTCCCACTGTGTATCGTGGCAATGTGTCGCTCAAACGCAGCTTTGTAATAAAACTTCATCGGACAAATCGCACAGTTGAAACGTTTTATACCCTTGTGTTTGCTCTGGATATGTTTTACTATGTTGGACTTGGATTTAAATATTCCGAAACATTCTGAACATTTGAACTCTGTAACATTAATGGTATTGTGAACTGACTTCATATGTTTGGTCAGCACTGCTTTACTTGAGAATATCTTGTGGCAGGTAGCACATTCAAACGATTTCACAACTTTCTTATTCTCAGGTATACTAGCATCAGTCTCCTCTGCAGTCGTCTCTTCTTCAAATATATCATCAACATCATCAGAATACTGAACAGAGTAATACCCTACACTACTATCCACACTGCAAGTATCTGAACGAGTATCTGGTGCTTTAGTTAACTGATCAGGTGTTATAACTTCAGTTCTCAGTTCAACTGAGCTTTGTGAACTGGAACATGCTGTGTCATTTCCGATGTGAACTTTAGAAATGTGACTGTTCAGATTAGTGTGAGATGAGAAAGTCAAGCTGCATTGTGCGCAGTGGGGTTTCTTCTTGTGCGCTTTACCCAGGTGCTTTTGAAGAGCGCTGAACTTATCAAATATCTGATAACAATCTGTGCACATAAACCGTGACAAGTGCTGGTTTTGAGTGTGTCTGTTCAGATGAGACTGGTTTGTGAAGTTAGTCTTACAAACTTCACACTTGAAAGGAGTGCTAATCGCATGCTCTGATAACAGGTGCGAGTAAAGCTGCGTTTTCTTCAGAAACGCGCTGTCACAGTCCACAACATGACATGTGTACGGTTTCTTGCCAGCATGTATTTTCTCATGTTTGCGGAGGTTGGAGAGCACTTTGAAGGCTGAGTTGCAGATGGAGCAGGAGAATGGGCGTTCGTCTGAGTGTGAGAAAGTGTGGCGCTGTAAGTGCGCTTTGCGCACAAAACTCTTATCACACCCTGGCTCCGTGCAGATGAAAGGTCTTTCTCCTGAAGTGGACGGTGGAAATACAATAAAAACTAACGATACAATTTATTTGTTTAAATGCATGCAAAAATTAAGGATTGCGAATTACTGAAATAAAAGGGTAGAAAAGACAAGAAAACGTACCTGTGTGAGAGCAGAGGTGTTCGTCTAATTTCCATTTCTTATCGAACTTTCTGGTACAATTTTCAAACACACATTCCAACGAAGGAGACATTTCTATCTGCTCCTGCAACCATCCACCCTCCTAGTTTAAAATAAAGATGTTCAGGAGAATTTTATGTATTAAATCAATTAAGTAAATTCTATTTGTAACAATATATTGCACTAGGCAACTTTGTATTGCCACATTTAGTTTTATAATGAGTTTGGTGGGAAACAAATACAAGAAGGATTACAGCAATTTGCAACAAAAATGTAGACCAGGCAGGGCAACACGACCTTTAGATTAGATAACAAGTTATGACTGGTCAGAAATAAGATTATGAGAGTAAAAATCCTGATTTTACCGTTTCTCAAAATGAACTTCAGAGTTGTTACTTTAATTGGTCTAAGTTCTAACTTTTATAAACCACTGAAAAGCAACTGATGCTAAACGTGACACAAGAATTTTCTTCTTAATCTTAATTCAATGAAACACTTTGTACTTATCTCTCAACAGTCATTAATGATTATATGAATACGACAATTATTATTCCATTAAGTTCTAAATAAATACAATATGATAGTTAACTTTATCTTTTAATCTGTAATACAATCAAATTCATACACAAATTCGATGGGTGTAAATTGACAAAAAAGGAATAGAAGACAGTAAACATGGGATGTAAATAAATAAAACGTCAAATAAATCGAGCATTTTAGAGCATATTCTGCTTCATAAGTGGTAGTATAGAAATGTGACCCTTGCAAAAGTTCTACACTACTGTACTCCTTAACCGATTTATGGAGAAAAAAGCTTTACATTACGTCCCATGATTACTGGAGCCTATTATTTAACCAAAACACTGAAATTAAGCATTGAAAATTGGACAGAAAGTAATAATAACTAAGTTAAATAGATTCCAATATACAAATTCAATGGGCATGACTGTAGCCTCACAAAGTTGTTTATAATCGTTTGTTAATAATACATCAATATCACATCAAAACTGAACAAATCCCACATAAATATCATTATACACACGATTAATATTATACATTTAAAAGTAATTTATACAGTATTAAGTATCCCATTGTTCAAAAACATCATGGAACAAATTAGCAATTATCTGAACAAACTTGAAATAAAACGTAGCATGTCATTGGTTAAGTATATTAAATATTACGTTTACATAAACGATTCTAAAACGTAAATAGCAAAGAGTCTGATAATAGAACAAAAACACAAGATAACTAAATATGACACTATAAAAAATCTAATAATTCAAGTAATTCAAGATGCATCACTACAATTTAGTAATAACAGCTTCCCAACTTTAATATCAATTATTCCAAATTAATGAAAATGTGTTCCAAAAACCCGATTGTTCAGCCCTTAGCAAATTCCCTGAAGCATCAAATAAGAACTCAATCAGCAAATAGTACGGCATCCAGAACAGCCACCTTCTAAATCTCCAAGGATAAGAAACAGTACCTCTATGTGAGAAATATGTGAATGTAGATCTGCTGGAGAGAGTACCACCCTGGAATAAAGAACATTCCCTGCACTGCGGATAGAGACGCTGTGGAACCTCCTTGTTGAGATACATAACGGTGGGAGGCATGTGATCTGAAATGTACTGCTCTGAAAACTTGCCACAGTGGTGACACCCATACTGTGCTCCAATCTCCTGAACTCTGTGTTTCATCGAGGGACTCGGTGTCAAGCCTTTGTTATCAACTGTCACATATTTCCTTGCAAAAGCTCCAGGACAAGCCACATGGCTGGGAAAGAGTTGAGCAGGAAGGCCTCCAGAGTATAGAAATACCAATAGTATTATTAGAGTTGTACATAATAACATGCCCCAATTTGTTGCCATGGCAGCTGTGTTTTTGAACATATCCACCTTCCAATGTTCACACAGGTAGACAAAACAGAGAGATGCAAAGTAATTTGACAAAGTGATTGTGCTAATCCCGGCTATAGTGCTTGTTATTTTCTGAAAGCAACTAAAACCAATCACCAATGATAACATGTAAAACATTCTTAACATGAGGTTGAAAACAACAAAAGTAATCCATGCCAAGATAAAGGCAGTAACACAGTCTTTGATTTCAGCTTCAACCATAATCAACACATATAGTCCGAATCAGTGAAATTTACACAGCTTCCAGCATGATATTAGACAGGAGGCACTGACCGAGCTAGGACAACTGGTAAGCTCACTTGTCAGTCTCTGTTACTAGTAAATCATACCTAAAAATTAATATTTAACTGAATGAAATTCACTCTGAATTATCAACTGAACATCAACATTCAACAATACATAACATTATTGAATCAATTGTATAAAAACATCCATAGAAGGAATGTGAAACACCCTGAAAGTATAGCCTTTAATGTCAATGAAGTAATTAATGACTACAGGATGTAAGGATAGAACCTGCACTCCTACCTGTTCAACCAACTTCATTCTTCAGGAAGACCAACACCCAGGATGAAGCCCGTCTGGATGTAGCAGCTGTTGGACTGTATTCACCATTCGAAAGAACATTCTTTGACATCAGGGTCACTCATCACTCATCCACTAGATAAAATCTACAGTGCGCATGAGAAAGAGAAGAAAGATCTCTATGAGGAGAGAGTACTTCAGTCAGAGAAAGGGTCCTTTGTCCCACTAGTCTTTACAAAATCCGGAGGTATGGGCCCACTCTGCACTGTGTTTGTAGATCGTATTTCTGAAAGGATAGCTGACCACAATAAAGAAGCTAAGAGCCAGGTCAAAAATCACATCAGAACACGATTCAGGTTTGATCTGCTACGAAGCACACTCATAGCACTCAGGGGAATCAGAGGAAGACAAAAAGCCCAGCACCTTAGACTGGATGACGTATCCTTCAATCTCATTCCTCAGAAGACGAGCTTTGAGGTCTCTTAAGTTTTTTTATGTAAATTTTATTGATTTAACTTATTGTAGCTTTTATATTGTGTAAGATTTTACGGACGAAATGATCCCAGGGAGAACTCCCACCTACTCGGCGGGTAGTTGATACACCGTTCACAAGCAAGAGCCACTTTAGTCTACTTGCTGTGAGGTGTCTCAGCTACATGGGTTGGGGGTCCCCCCTTTTTATTTCCTTTTTTTTCTACAAAACACATAAACTACATTTTAAATAAGCATCTACACTACAGTTGTCAATTAAAATATCATTCTATCAATGTGCGTGGTGCAGTTAACAAGCACGATCTGGTGAGCCCAGTGGATTTTCTGGCTATAAAGCTAGCAGGAAGTATCAATGATGATTTCTGCCTTTTGGAACGGCTTTTATGCCCACTAAAGCAACTACTTGTGTCTATAAACTTAACTGAACTAGCGTTTCGGTGTGTGCAAAAGCTTCCAGGCACACGCATTCCATGCCCCGTTAGTTACCTGTCCCTCTAAAACCAAACTAGCAGTCAAGGACAAAAAGTCATACACCAAATGGGCATTATATTTTATGAATTGTTTTACATCTATTTATTCTGTAAAAATGTGCTAAAATTAAATTTCATTGAAAAAAAATTCTTGTTTCATTGAACTTATATTTATATTATTATTACAGTCTAGAACTTTTGTTTCTAGACTAGAATCCCGAGTCCCGACGGCAAAACTATGTTATAACCATCTCACATACAGATTCAGGTGAAGCAAACCCTGATAGAAAGAAAACTCCAAGAAAAATTGGAGCAAATGTCATTATGACACTCTGCTGCCCCCAGCAGATCAAGGTGCTCAAAGATACAAGTGCGGTCATCCTGCACATAAGAAACAATCTGCCATATGTTAAGCATCATAACCTGACCTGTTACACAATTGTAACGGTCAACATAACGGTCTAACAGCGGAATTATTATTAAATTGTGTTAAGAAATCAATGCTTTTTACAGCATACAGTACACACCAATGACATGTGTCATGTGTGTTACAAAATTCAAAACCTTTTGGTGGTGCTCCTCCCGATCCAACCTTCAATTGCAGTTTCATTATAACTCGGCTGTGACATACATGCAATTAATAGTGTCCTGTTTCAGGATCCTTCAGTTAAAAATACATATATAAATAAGTAATGCATGTTACGTTGATTGATTTGCTATTTATATTTTATACAGCTAATTTAATAACAAAAAAGCTTTTTTTAAATAAAAATGTACAACGTGTAGCAAGCCAATCCTTGTACTGTGCGCAGCTCAACTTTTTTCAATTTCAAGCTTTTTGTATATCCGTGCGAGTACTAAGCAACAAAAATAAACTAGAGTACTAGATAGCAAAAATGTTTATTAACCAAGCATGCAACACGTTATATTAACGATTTTATTAAATATTTGTTCCAAATATGAGACTGCATGTCGACAAGTCCAACTCTGCGCACGTCTCGGTAGGTTATAAAACCACAAATTAAAAAGTAATATTAATTGAGCTTGCGCTTGTAGCGCGCGCGATACACTACTGGGCCGCGCCGCGCATCAAATAATGTTTCTTTTAATGGATGATACTCGTAAAATTGATCCACGATGTCAAATATCCTTCGCATTTCGCCGATTTGCATACGATCGGAGAGTTGCTCTAACCAGAGCCCTCTCGCTTGCAGTAGCGCGCGACCGCCGTACGCGTAGGCATGCATGGCTATGTGAAATCGGAGAAATGTGGTTGACATACGTTGCATGCCACTTTTCGCGCTGATATTGGGATACGAAACATGTATCAAAGATGTGGTTGCAAGAAGATGCGCGGCGCACCCCAGTAGTGCATTGCGCTACAACTCGTAAAATATTTGTTTGGCCTCGTCGACGAGTCCAACTCGGCGCGCGTCCCAGTAGGTTATAAACCTACAATGTTTCTTGCAACCACTTTCGGTCGAAATCTAATCGCGATCTTCGCACTTGCAGTAGCGCGCTCGTAAAGACTTGCGGTTATGCAAATGCACCACTGGTTCACCTAGCCATGAGTCTACGCGTACTGCGTGACGCGTTTGTTTCACAAGCTACTGCAAGCGATAGGGCTCTGGATAGAGCAACGCCAGTACCAAGAAATAAACTCTGTCCGTAATCCAGGTCTTGGGTAAATCTTGTCATACGTTGTAAGACCCGCCGCGCACGAGTGCGCAGCTCCCCCTGTATCCGTCGAAACTCTACAGTGAAGCGACAGTGGGGGTCACCACGTGATACAAGGTAAATCAGGAAAAATAAAGGATAAAGGAAAAGAAGAAGAAGAAAAATGTGTAAGTGTACATCATCAGCAAATGACTTGGCTATCGGTTTCGGGGGTTTAACTCCTGTACCGATATTAAATTGCCAAGCCCCCCTAACAATCACTCGTCAGTGATCACCTGTCTACATTGAATGTGATGTCGAATATTTCGTCGACATCAACTATTCCGTATTTGTGAAGTACGTTGGGTCGGTCACTTATCCAGTCATCCAGCTTATTGTATAGCTTGGTTGTGACGATACCTGACTCACTTAAAGAAAGGTTAATGTCAAGGTAGTTGATGTTCTTATTGTCGTCACTGCTTCTCTCCATGAGTAGGTCTGGTGGATAGATTGACCCGATGAGATTGGCAAACTTTATATAGTTGATAGTGCCAAGATCGTCAACATATCTGCAGTTCTCAGAGAGAAGCTTACCAAGGCAATATAAATTTAATGGTGTCTTTCAGCTTGTAGCGCGATGCACTACTGGGTCGCGCGCGCATCAAATAATGCTTCTCGCAACCACTTCGGTAGATCGGCGAGATGCACCACTGTGCCTCACCGAGCTGCGAAGGATTGACATCGTGAATCAATCTTTCAGCTTACCGGCCGAGAAGCAGATAAAACCGCTGTATTCCTTTTTGGAGAAAAAACAATTGCATTTAGACATTATTAAATATATATTTAGACATTATTATATATATTTTGTTATAAAATTATTTGAAAGAAAAGGCCTCAGACTTTGGGCACGGGCATTATGGTTTGTGTAATCCTCATGGTGGCCCATCCTCATGGCTCCCATCACCTGCATGCGAATATCTGGACTGCCTATCGTTTTTATGGTTTAAATTTAAATAATTAAAATATGTCTGAGGCATTTTTACCACATTAGCAATACAACCGATTACACCAAAGCTTTACTGTTAGGGAAAATCTGCTATGGCCATGGCTGTATGCTGTTACACATCAGTTCATGATATCAGGATCCGAGGCACCCGTTGCAAATAAATGGGTCCTGATCAAATGTATGGTGCTTGTAATGGGTGTGCACCGGATTTGTAGTCGGTAGTGTCCTGACTATTCTTTTTTGTTGTCATGGGATTTCTGATCCTTCAATAATTTTGTTTGGTATTTAGGTCTAGGTAGTTGTTTATTGTATTATTTTACATTATTCAAGACTTACTGAGGGAAGTAGGGACAAACTCTAATGATGAACTGCAAACCCTGATGCGGGACAGGGATGCAGATGTATGGAGGGGGTTTTCTGGCGCAGTTCCGACTTAGGAGTAGTAGTAGTTAGACAAGAAAATATAGTCACTTTTACTGTTTTTAACAGCTTTAAGTCACTTGCACTGGTATATTTAATTGACTCATTTTGTTTTAAATACATGCTATATGTTTAGTCTGGAGACTTGGAGCCCGTAAATATAATGATACAAGCCAATAATTGGAGTAGGCAGGTAGCCCTGACGGCTGACATGGTGGGTGTATAAACCTTATGGTCTGCTCTCCAAGATCACCCTGCTTATCTTCTGTAATAATTTTAAGTAGTGGTTATTAAAACTAACCAAGTAGTAATTAATAATATATCGTGACATGTAATTGTAAGATAACAAACCTCGCGCGCGCGGCGCTTACATCTGCACCTGAGAATCTCTCAGCAATGTGTGGCTGTCTGCGCGGCGGGCTGTGTATTGTGTATATAGCTGAATTTAAATTTAGATTTATTTGTAAATGTATAATAATATTAAATATGTTTTGATTGATTGTGGTAAATAAAAATTTTTGTTTTAAAAAATTTTTGTTTTACTATAGTCACGTTAAGTAAGATTGGGATGACACCAATGCAAATTTTATTCCTCGCACTCCAGAAATGACATTGAAAAAGGAGCAAATGTTCAAATAAACAAGACGTATGGATGACGTAATATTAAAGCAAAATTTTGTGGTTTTGACATGATGCATCCAGAGCTTCTGTCGTGCCACATCTGTTGTAATAATAATTTCTCATAAAAAAAAGTAAAGTAAAGTAGAAATTATGACATAACATCATCACTAATGTCTACAAAGTATCATCACACTACATGGAAAAATAACTATTTCTCCATCAAATTTAAAGGTAATAATTTATCAAATATTAATCATGAATAAAAACAACATTACAAAATTCAATTTATTCATAAGTGGAGTAAAGATTTATAAAACGTTTCTTTGCTACATAAGGATGAAACCACAGATAATCATAGTGTTTTTCCTTATTACTGATGTAACTGGTACCTTCAATTCTTGTTAAAACTTCTTTCGAAACATTCCAAAAATGAAAGTCATTTACAATACATTTAGAAATCATATTCTTTTTAAAACTTTCCAATCCAATTTTAAAACTCAAAACCGTCATGCAGTTCTTCACCTCCGAAGGGAGTTTGTTCCAATAAGGAACAACCCGCTCTGGAAGAAAAGAACACTGAAGATTCTTGACCTTTGTCACACTCTATTGGATGAAACCAGATTAAGACCTGATTTACTTGGTCTGAACAAGTCTGAACCATAATCAGTCCAGCCATTAATAACCTTAAAAGCTTCAATAAGGTCCCCACGTATTTGCCGCTCTGCCAGCGTTGTCAAATTAAGGATTTCCAGTCTACAGCTGTAAGGAAGAGTACCCACCTCATCAATCAGACGGGTAAACCGCCTCTGGACGCTCTCCAGCTCCAAAACAGTCCCCCAACTTCCATGAGCCACAACTTGATTCCACAATTGGACACAATACTCTAGATGAGGTCTCGAATGGTAAATTGTTGAAGGTAAACTTAAAAGATACTTGGACTCCAAACAATTTAAATTGTAGTAATCTAATCTAATTGCAGCGGCACACACTTACTTGTCATGATTGTACTATAGACTGAAAATCTCTAAAATCGATTTTGGGCGTTTTTAACCATTGGTTGTAATGTTTTTAAATACTAAATATCTTAATTTTTTAATTTTTCAATCGGAACAATTAATTAATATTTGATAATTTATTCGGTAGTTTGGTCTGATATTGATATTGATATTGATTATATTGATATTGTTATTATGGAATGAAGCTAACTCCAGACATAAATAATATTACTTCTTTTAACAAAGGGACTTGGAGCATAAACGACCAAGTTTGCATAAATTTCTATCCAACCAAGAATTCAGGAGGCAAGGGTGGGTGCGTAAACTTTATGGTCTGCACTCTCCGATCCTGTATCACCCTGGATTCTTTTCCACGTATCTTTGTAAAAGGTATATACCTTCTAGTCAATCTCTTGCTACTCCAAGGCCCCTAGGACATCTGATCTAAAGTTCGTGCTAGTTATATTATATATGAAATATATGTTTTTGTCTGCTTTAATTGATACTAAATAAGATTGTTGTTTTCTTGAAATTGTTGTTTTCTTCATTTACCTTTACTGGTATGACTTGTTATATATATAAATATATTATATATATATATGTTAAATGATTTGTTTGCATAATCTTCACTCTTAGGTCATATATTATAATCTGAAATGCAAACCTATCAGGGCACTCGCCACTCAATTGTTGAAGAGATGTAAAACCTGTATTTTATTATTGATTTTTATACATTATTCATCACAATCACATCTTACAACCTATCTTTAGTGTTATCAAAAATGAATAAGAAGCTGAAACATTACACCATTGTAAACGTAAAATATAGAAAACAACATTAATCAATATCAGAATATAAACAATTGGAACAGCTCTGTTTGTATGCTTCAGTTCTATTATTAAAACAAGACCTCTATTATTTAATGTATTGTTATTTTGTTTACACTTGGTCAAGGCATATAAGGTCATTCAGCGAATTTTCTTTGGAATAAAATAAAAATGATGTATTTGTAAACATTTTGACAGTTTATTGATTTAAAAAAATATATTATATATTTATACTCAAATTGCAATTGATTCCTGGCTGAAATCCACTAAGCAACTGTGATGAAGACTCCATTCTTTGGCTTAACTGTTAAATCTGTCTCTTTTTCCAAATGTTTCTCTTCTGGCCTAGCATCAGCTATTTGTAAATTATGAAGCAGTTTGGTCAGCAGTACCTTCATCTCCATTATTGCAAAATGCTTGCCAATGCAAACCCGTGGCCCTGCAGTGAATGGGATGAATGTGAAGGGCTCGACTTTTGAACCAGGCCCAAATCGGCCTGGATCAAATTTTTCTGGGTTGGACCAGTGAACATGTGACATATGCACTTCATGAATTGAACACCATATTCGAGTATCAGGTGGTAAAATTACTCCATCTACTGTCGTATTATAGTTTGGAGCGAGTCTAAAAGTCCCTTGTACTGGTGCGTGTAATCGCAATGCCTCCTTTATACACTGCTCCATGTACACAAGTCCATTCAGATCATCAAAATCGAGTTCATCTTTTCCATTCAGCACTGATTTAATTTCGTTCTTTAGGTCTTGGGTAATTGTTGGTTTTTTAAGAATCTCCCAAATGAAGCATGTCATGGTGATGGCAGTAGTTTCCATTCCCGCAATGAGGAATACAAAGAAATCGTCTAGCAGATCTTCAATGGTAAGCTCGTCTGAAAAAACATTTCCTTTCACAATGTATGACAGTATATCATTGGTTTTGTCTTTTTCTTGATCCCGAGATATCGCCTCAAATCTGTCTTTCAGATGGTCTTTCATGTAGCCCCTCAAAAATGTTGCTGTCCTCTTCAAGGTGGCTTTTTCCTCTGTGTATTTCCATGGCAATAAAAACGACATCCAATTGTAGGCATGCAAAGCGGCAATTTCCAATAGTTCATTTACTGATTTATTCATTTTTGAATCTTCTTTGGTGATAAAATCATCGTACAAGTTGAAACCACAGGTGCAAATCACTTCTAATGCAGTTCTATTCATTACTGGGAATATATTAATTTCCTTTTGTTCTGACATATTTGTTAACTGAGAGCATAGTTGATCTGCAGAGTAGGTCATCTTGCCCATCAACTGACGGAGAAACTTCTTTTGAAATGCAGGGTCCATTATCCGGCGTTTGTTGTGCCAAATTTCTGTTCCCTGATCAAGTAGGATATTTTTTCGACCCAAGAAGCGCTGTCCTTGGATGAAGTCAACGTGCGTGTTCTCCGGTTCCCTTTTAAGATATGTGCGGTGATCACTCAAAATTTTGGAGTTTATGCTTGTTTTCACCGTATAGATCATGCCCCTAAATTTGGGTCCAAAAACCAACGCTACAGTTTCACCCCCAGTTTCTTTACGTATCACCTCCAGCAGAACGTTTAAGTTAAACCCATGAATCTTGGACAATTTAGTGAATAAGAACAAGTGTCCGAAGTACCAGAGCGGTGATATGGGTATCGGAGGAGAGGGAAAGTGCGAGTACTGACTCCTCTTTCTAACAATGTACACGTGGTATACAGCAAACAGTGTTATCACCAGTCCAAATAGAGTCGAGATGAAAATCATGCTGTCGTTCTGAATTAATATTTGGTTTAAAAGTGGAATTTATATATTGATAAATTAAGTTTACTTGAAATCATGTTAGTTCATCTCTTTTTCAGAATACAGGCGGACGCGGAGTTCTATTGAGTAAATAATATTCTATTGAAGTTAATTAGTATCAATCAACAAGCAGTACGTATCAAAACATGTTTAATTAGTGTATAATAGGACATTTCCGCAAAACATACAAAATAGGGCAGCTGGATAGTTATCAAAACTAAATTTTTAAAACACGTCAGAACGAGTTAACACAGCCTACATGTGCACATGTGCACAAGTAATGCTGATACAACATTTCACATATTTTACTTCCACAAATTGTTATCTACCACTGCCTATTAGGCACTGGTAGTGCCACTACCTCTGAACAATGTGAACGCGCATCAGAGAACTCGACGTCACGACTCATGGTAATTAGATTATTAAATGTTCTAGAATCTAGAGAATGTCCTAGAAAACTCGCAGCTGTAATGTCCCGTGTGGCCCCTTGCCAATGATGTAGACACTAGTATATATTATATAGTGTGATCTCATTGTTGTGTTGTGATCTAATGTTGCCGTTAGTTGGGACACTCGTGTGTGACCTAAGTCTGACGTCTTTGCAGAGGTAGTTTATTTAGGAAGCATTTTTCACATTTCTCAATCTCATCGTTTCTCAATTTTCAGTTAACAGCTCTACTAACTTACTGAAGTACGCTTACTGTTGACTTTATTTCGCGTCCAGAAAAAGCTCGAGCATTATATTAATTCTCTCCCGGTGCGCACCAGATGGTTATTTACAGATTAGTTTTACAGTTCAAGTTACATTACTGGTATAATAGCCTCGAACAATCTAAAGATGCAGTAAAACGTCTCTCTAGATAATATTATTATATGGAAGTGATAAGCTTACATCTTTCTACAATCCTGCGTTTACCATCATCTACTTTTGCGATGTGAGCTGTTTTCATTGTTTTCATTGTTACAATGCTATCTTACTACTGCAGTAAAAGTGGTATTGTTTATGTTTTCGTTGATAATGATAGGCAGGTTCTCGTGTACTAAGACCGTGTGTTTATGAGCAAATAGTGCAGATCTTCTCAAATATATTTTACTTAGCATTCCTGATTGTGCTATAGATCTAGCCTGGATGTTATATAATGTGTCTATTCTGCCCATATATGGGCATTATATAGTTCAGCTCATATCAAATAAGAGTGCCAATTGCGATTATACCATGATGGTATATTCTTGGCAGTGAAAGAGCGATTGTGTTAAATCACAAAATACATTAATTGTAGTCTGTCGGAGGTTTTCACACAATATCTAGATTGCTTAGATGAAAGGAAATATCTATTGTTATCTTCCCTCCATCAATCAAACTTACATGTCAAATTGCACATTAAAGTTCATCGCTGCATCTGTGGCTGTTCTTTTCATTAGGTTTTACATATCGCTCTACAGGCAGCTCTTTTATTGAAACGTGACGAATATTGTTAAGTTGAAACAAATCCTAAATTCCCGTAATTTTACCGAACCAGTATTAATTGCAAGTCCATTGTTTTTTGTGGACTGCAAATGACTGGCTTAGCATACCAAGAGAAACAACTAATAAACGTGAGCTTGTAAAACTTACATACTCAGGACCGGTGTAAAATGTGGAATCAGGAATGTGGGTGGTGTCGGAATGCAGAACTGCTCACAAGAAGTCTGTATAATTGTTGAAAACTTTGTAACTTCTGAAATATTGAATTGAGTAATGAGTATTACATTGAGAAAACTAAGTTTTTTCTTTGCTACATTAACGTACAAGGTACTGTACACTTGCACATTAAGTTCTCAAGACACACCTTTTGTTTTTCTGTTCTGAACCCATCGTTTTTTCCGCAGCGTTTATTAAATAAGTACTTCCTTTAGACTTTCGGTCTTAGCCTGCTTTGTTAGTCACATACCTTTATACTACATTACTATCCGTTCATGTGACTCACACGTGGTGGTCACACGAACCTAATATTTCGACGGATACCGTCACCCTGCCCTCGTAGCCTTAGCGTGTGGCTCTTTATTTATCGGGCCCATTACAAAACAGCGACGGGTCACACTATAGGGTCTCAGAGCAGTGAATACGTTCGCACGTGACCTACATCTGTCAAGATTATTCGTTCGCACGTGACTCTTACGTGGCTCTTTATTGGCACTATATTATTGGACAGTGGACACGATATTCAGACTTTCAGAAAATCGGTGTGATTAGTTTTGTAATGGCACCAACTATGTTTTCGGTTGTTTAAAAAAAATTAAAAGCCGTGTGATCAGTTTATAATCGCACTCCCTGTCCGGTCACAAGTTTCATTTAGTCCGGAGGAGGAAAAACTGAAAAAATCCGGTACGATTATGAAGAATATAATTGACCGTAATTATTTCAACCGTATTGTTCTTTCTATAACTATACCATGAAACGATATTTGTCTGACCGCCTATTTCGAGTGTTTCACTTGTTGTAATGCTCCTGTCTGCAGTTGAGCACTGTCTTTGGGAAACCAAGCAACGACAAATTTTAACTTAATATTTATATAACCTTTACATATCACTAGCTAATATTACAAATACAATTTATAAAATCATAAATATACAGGGTCACGAGTTGAAAATAGCGTGTAGAATGTAAATATCGATAATTTTTTTATGAAGGAGCAAATTTTGAAAGGTGAATTGCTATCAGTTCATAAACGTTACAAATTTCATTCTTGCCTCTCATTTGATTATAACTCATAATTTGGTAGACTCCGTGTTCAGACTTTGGCTTTTTGTACCATTTTATCATTAACTTGGAATTTTATTCCGATTTTATTTTATTCCCACTCTCCAAGCTAGCATTCCGGTCATTTTAGAGCCTCATTTAATCATTCGGTCTTACTAAAGAACCTCTCACCTTCTAAGATTTTTTACCGCTTCGTTCATTTTAAGCTTTATTTATTCATTTTATCATTTTTATTGTACACACTGGCTGTTTACTTTACAAAGTACAAAAAGTCCGAACAGTACACGGAGTCTAGGAAAAACCTGTGAACCAAATAAGCAGAATGGCACCCGTACATGATGTGTTAAAATATATACCGTTTTAGAATGCCTTCGTAAACGTTTTCTCTTTTGTAAGGTAAACAGGTAGTGTGTACAATAAAAATGATGAAATGAATTCCAACCACTACCAGTTAGCTCAATCTTCTTATATCTTGAGGTATGTTACACAGCATGCCCTTACTTTGTTTAGTTGCTAAGTTTGTCTATCAGTTACATTGTCATATCATTACACTTAACACTGATCAGGATTTTATTGTTCGATATAAGGAATGTTCTAGTACAATTCTTGTAGGATTGTTCGTTCATTCCCTTTCATGTTATAATAGCGCTAACCATTATTTTCATCGCTTCTTTGTATTCGTGCCGAATACAAGCAGACACCAACCTAAATTGAATTTAGCTATTCATACTTTATTGAGAGCCAGATCTCAAGCGCCTTTTGAGTTTTATACATTTTAAAAACTTTTATAAAAGTGATATTAATATTGTTGTTAACCTAGTTATTACTATTAGCAATAGGTATCTCACGCAATATGGTAGATGCGGAGAAAGGTCCCGGCCCTTCTAATGCACATCAACAAAAGAGCAGCAACAATAACAATTACGAAGGTAGGTGGAAGTTCCCCTTTTTAAAATCTTTTCTAGTTATGTTCTGTTCAGCTCTTTAGAGCTTTTGATGTGGTTTGCTAGGAATGTTATCGATGGAACTGACTGGAAATAAAGGGGAAAAAACTAACACACGTCACACTATGACAATTTATCAAATTGTATTAGTATTCACTCACGCTGCCAATTATTGTGATACGTCATAATATATCACTAAGTCACGAGAAGGTTTATCAATCAGTACCGACCACCATTATTGTGCAATGCTTCGTATACATTAGAGTATTAAATTTCAACGTGTAAACTCAATTACCCAACCTCCATGTTGCCACTGTAAATGCATGATGTAGTTTTTATTTTGTTGTTCCAGGCATGATCAAATTTCTATCGTCCAAGGCAATTACTCCTGATAATTGCCTTGGGGGGCCGGGGATCATTAAACAATTTTAACGCTGCCTTTAAAAAGAAATTAGACGGTAATGTTATATGAATGTTACATCAACTACAGGAATGTTATCAAGCGTCAACAAAAGTTTTGTAAATCAATTCTTCTCAGAGAACTCTTTTATTTTTCCATTTGAGCTCCACGATCCTTTCTCACCTTCCCGTTTATAAGCTCCTAGCGTGTACTCTTAGCATCTTTTTCATGATAATTGCCCCCATTTTGTATTACATGCTAAAAGTACGCCCACTCGGTTCCGCTGCAATGGTATTACGCCCAAATTTGGTTAAAATCTCAATACAAAAAGACCACATCCCCGACAAGGATATATATATATCTATATATATATATTCCTTCTTTGCTCTGTAAGTGTTTATATTATGCAGTATTAGATTTTATAATAAAGTCATATCATGCATTAACCTCCCTTTTTTATGCGATTGTCCTTATCTTACGTTTATATTTCTTATCTCATATATATATTACATAGACTTAATCTTATGATGGTTGTCATGTTCAAAGAGGACAGTTGCCACCTTAGTGCCATTGCGATAGACACTGACTCTGAACTTTAGAGTTTAGTTGCGCTTGTGAGCATGTCATGCTTGTCACAGATCCTCGTATGGGTATAAATAATAAACCAATCCTATTCCTGGAAACTTTGCATTGCGGCAATTGCGCTGAAGTTCAATTTTATGATAAAATTGATATCACTAAATGACTGCAATCGATTTCCAATTTAAGGCATACACAGTTACTTTTTATAAGAATAGTCCGATCCAAACAGTTATGGTTATCTATTTTCAGCGATAGGAATGGAAGCCGTCCCAAATGGCAATTCTAAATCCACGGCCCGCTTGATAACTGAACATGAACGTGTGTATAATAAGTGTTACGTTGCTATTGTAGAAACGTCTGCTTGAATGGGACTCATTTTAGAAGTTGGTGTTTGAATTGGAACGAAGGAGAAACATTCGTTTATCTTTTGCAACGTGACAGCAATTTGTCTTCAACAGATCGTATGCGAACTGCAGTCACGTGGCAAAACTAAGGAATTTTTCCCTTCTTCCAACTTCACTACACCACGGCCGTGACAAGTTGGCCTCTAAATTTAAAACTTTTAGCAGCTAGCTTTTCGCCGACTACCTGTCTTTTTGTGCTGTGCATGTCTATTTATGAATGTATTTAGTTTGTCTTGTTTGTTCATTTATGTTTTAAGAAATGTTTTACTTCAAAATGATTAGATCTACGGTGAATAGTAAGTAGCTACCCAGAACAAAATATCCATTAAGAGGGAAACAAACTTTCCTTCCTAATTGTATAATTGAACCTTTGTTGTAAAGTTTAATTGCAGGAATGATGTCGCATGTCTATGATTTGCAAATTATTCTTTACCGTACAAATCAATCTTAGATGATCCCTCTTTCGTTTGCTTCTTGAATTTCTGCAAAAGCTAAATATTTATATACGTACTCTTTTAATTTGAAATAAGTTGTGTCTCTTTGTAAACATGCCTAAAGGCTTCAGTAGTTTCATCAGTAATACTTATGACGGTGAGATTAAAATAATACCATCCCCCAGCCGCCCACCCTCCTCCACAAAAACGTAGAGGGTGGAAGAATAAAATACCAGAAATTCCACCGCAATTTTCTTACATTCTTAATTAAAACGCTTTTATCCTGTCAGATCCGTCGGTGGCATGACGCTCGAGAAATTTATTTAATAATTAAATTGTCCTGATTTTGGCACCTGTCATGCACTGCTGTCACTATCAATCCGATTAGTAATTTAACCCCTCAATGTCATCAGAAAGAATGAATTGCTAATTATTTAATTAAATTATAAATTAAATTTAAAAAATAAATAATTAATTAATTACTTTAATAATATTATAAAATCATTCATTCATACAAATTCATATTATATTCATTCATTCATAACTACTCACCTAATTTGAATTAGATTATTCCGCAGAACACGATGTGGGCTTCTGTGGCGCTATTCTCATAGGGATTAGTATACTTCTCTGTATCTGCTTCTTCCCTCTTGCACCTTTCTTCATCATCAAGGTAAATTTAAGTGGTTTAGCTGCACTCAGTAGTTATTTGATAATGATTAACTATGCTCGTTAATAAACGATTATTTGGACAATCTTAATGTCTTGTTCATTATGACATTTAATAAATCCATTAATTATCATTTGTCTTAGTATCTGTAATCCAAGTTGTCTCATTATATCCAAGATATAATTGCACATGCCAATCCGCCTCCAATATTGAACGAAAGCCATTATTGTCTAAAAATTACAACACGAACGCGGACGAAATAACAACTTACTGTTAATTAACATTCTTGACCACATCACTTTTAAAGCTACACAATACAACATGTTTTATATAATTTACTTGCTCTGTCATACTGTTGTTTTACGCTGCCCAATTAGCAGAGTTAGTCCACTAACTGCCAACTGGTTCAGGTGGTAGCACAGTACGAGAAAGCAGTAATATTGAGACTGGGATGTATCAGAAAGGGTGGAGCAGCAGGACCTGGTCTCTTCTTCTTCCTGCCTTGTGTAGATGAGATTCACGTTGTGGACATGAGAACCATTTCATTTGATGTTCCCCCACAAGAGGTAAATATGGTATACAAGTATAGGGCGCACGTCGGGGTGGGGGGGGGGGGGGTGATCAGTGATTATTTCATATTCGGTCATTCTCTTCGAGCTCACACAAAAGTGGTTGTCATTGCTTTTGGTAATTTGGGGTTGATTTAATAAAATTACACACAAGCTGCACAGTATTCAATTAGGCTGAAATCTTTGCAGGAACATTCGAGTATATTATAGTAATAGTAGTAGTTATAGTAGTAGTCACTAGTCGGATATATTCTTTATAATAGTAGTTATTGACTACTATTACTAGTGGGTACTTGGTATCTACAATAATGTCGCTGATAAATCTGTCTATCCAGATTCTGACAAAGGACAGTGTAACAGTGACAGTTGATGCAGTCGTCTACTTCCGTATCCAGGACGCCGTCTCCTCCGTCTGTAACGTGGACAATGTCAAGACTGCCACCAGATTGCTTGCACAGACCACCCTCAGGTCGGTGGTGTGACTTCTTTAATCTTTCACTATCAATGAAACTAATTATATTTATACAATATTTTATGTCTTTTAGGATAAAACAACATCTAAAACCCTCTTTTACAGTTTTACTGTTTCAGGAACATGTTGGGAACCAAATCTCTGTCCGAGATTCTATCAGAGAGAGAGGAGATTTCCAACAGTATGCAGGTACAAGTTCAGAGCCTGTTACAGAGGCCCTTTTACACACCCTGTCACCCTCACACAGCGTGGCGCTGTCACACACTCTGTCACACACTCTGTCACACATATTTCACTGTCACACACCCTGACAGACCCCTGTCACACACCCTGTCACACACTCTGTCACACACTCTGTCACACATATTTCACTGTCACACACCCTGTCACACACTCTGTCACACATATTTCACTGTCACACACCCTGTCACACACACTGTCATACATATTTCACTGTCACACACCCTGTCACACACACTGTCACACATATTTCACTGTCACACAGCCTGTCACCTTGCCAATTCCAATCACACTTGTATTTCACATTAATAAGACTAGAGTGTACAGCCATCCCACTATACTTGTACTGCTACGTTACTCACAAAATTCTTATATTTAATCTATATATAAATTAAGTGTGTACTGTGTAGTAATATTTATATTATGTCACATTTTGGACTTGCGTATTTAAACATAGTACTATAGTAATGTAAGAACAAAGCTTAGAGACCAACTTTTATTGTATACTACATAGTCTCGTATCGTTATTATAGGTCTACCCAGCCCTGCCCTAGTCCCTACTAATGAGTACTAATTAGCCCTAATTAGTCCCTACTAAACTGTCTTGTCCGCCAGATAATATTCTAAAGTCCAATAGCATTCCTAATCACTAGACGGTTCCTTCATTCATTTAAACAGTATATGTAGGGGAAATATTTAAAAAGCTAATCCCAACCCTGGTAGAAATATGACCAGCTAGCTTGGCTCTCCTGACAATATATTATTAGTATAACAAGAACACTTGTTTTCAAGATCACTTTTCTAATTGAACTCAGTTAGTAAGTCATTTGAAAGCCGACAGAGGGTATATAAACGATATGCTCTGATGAGTGATGACTGGCTACCGATTTAGGAGGGCGGTTCGGTTTATTTCTAGGCTACAATATGCCGCTAAAGAGTCTTGTGAGGATACAATACGCTGAGTTTCTGCCCTATGGTCTATTACTCTTATTCTAATGATGTGGTTATGTCGATAATGTATCGATCAATCCGATTCGAGACTAAATCTTCTAGTTGTGAGCATGAAAACCTTCTCTGTTACACATAGAATGATTCTGATGTAATGATAGAGTGTAGTAGAATGATTCTGATGAGGTGTGACTCATGCTCTCAATATTACTTCTAGAAGTGTATTTATTCGGAGTGGTCTCCCAACACAATAGGTCTCGTTCCAGAGAAGTTCCACGAACTCTCCCCCACCTGATTTGGAATAATTATTGTGGGCGTTACAGCTTACAGACTGACAAGTTTCGGTATTAATAATCTCATTATGCCTCCCCTTTACAAGATAACCTGACAAGAAACTCTCGCCTATTTAGTAGATATTTAAAGCAAAATATGTTCATAGACATTGGATTGACGTGGCCTTAAATACTAAATAAAGCTAAAGGTGGAGCTCCCACTGTAAATTTAACTGCACATTGCACTTGTATAATTACACGGACCCCTTCACAAGGTTCGCTGCACTTGTACTGTGGTAAATGTTATTATAACAGTTGTAAAATTGAGGAAGTACCCTATTATTACAATTAGGACATGTTCCTCTGTAAGTAAAGCTTAGGAAACTTGTTAATTGTTTTAACAGACAATTGAATTGTCTCTTATATACAGAACCATACTAGCTAGCCTAGCTAGGCAGTAGGTATCAAACTTGTTCTTATATAATTACTTTCTGATCATTGATCATACGCATTAATCACTTGCCTCATTCGTCATCTCCAGAGCCAAACAACGGTATCACCATGCACATCACCCTGTCATACACCCCAATTTCACAGAAACATCACACTAATTTAACTGGATGTGAGGTGAAGGTATGAGGTTGATACTGTCTAACTGACTAAAATTTGATAGAAAATAAGTGAGCTAAGTGTGACGTTTTTCTAATCCATTTCAGCGTATTCTTGACGTAGCGACGGACCCCTGGGGCGTTCTGGTAGAGCGAGTTGAAGTGTGAGTTTTAATGTAAATAGCACTCTTATCTTCATCTGATAGTTTAATGTTTCAGCAAACTCTTGATGTGGCGACCGATCCATGGGGTGTATTAGTTGAGCGGGTTGAAGTGTAAGTTAGAGTGTACGCTAGAAATAGAAATATCTAGATTGTGGAACTCTAGAATCTACAGTTCTACGATGTAGAGTTTGGTACTTTGCCAACCTTGCTGAAATCTTGTCTGTGTGCGCAAATTGGTAGAATTCTTTGTTAAAGTTTAAATATTTGCGTATCAATAACCCTACGTTTGAACTTTGTTTACAGGAAGGACGTCAGACTGCCACAGAATCTCCAAAGAGCCATGGCTGCCGAGGCTGAAGCTCACAGGGATGCCAAGGCTAAGGTAAGCTCGTGCAGATTGTTTTGATTTACTTTTAACTTTTTAATTAGAACCTTTTTGAATATATTCAGAAAAGTGTAGCGGGTTTGTGGAAAATTAAGAGCTGGTATTATATAAATTAAAGGTGTTAGAATGGCTTTGGATAGATTCGAACCCGGTTCAAATCTATCCAAAGCCCATTCTAACACCTTTAAGTTTCCTTATACCAGCTTTTAATTTTCCGCATTATATAGCGAGGCAGCATAAATTTAGCTAATTGAGCGAGAGTGTACGACAAGTCCAAAAGGAGCCATACAAATAACAGGTAAATTCGGCACACAAGTATACCATTAAGTTTTAAAATTTCCTCTTATTAACAAATTGCCTCCACTCCAGGTTATTGCTGCTGAGGGAGAACTGAACGCCTCCAAAGCACTGAAGGAAGCTGCTGATGTTATCGCTGAGTCCCCCGCTGCCCTCCAACTGAGATACCTGCAGACTCTGAGCGCCATCGCTGCCGAGCGTAACTCAACCATCCTCTTCCCAATGCCAATTGACATGATGAAGGCTTTCGCTGGAAGGTAATCAAAGAACTATCATGAGACTGATCAAAGATTTAAATGTTTCTCAAAATTTTGTCTTCAAGGAACAGATTTTAGTTTTGTTAATTGTGTTGTGACTTAGCTTAGTCTAATGTACCGTATAATCGGACAAGGCAGATATTTAATAGAATGATTAAATGAAGCTAATTAGTTAATTACAAAGCTAGTTGATTATGTTAGGATCATTTTTGTTGTTGCATGTGTTAGCTAATTGTTCATAATTTGATAGTGCTGTCAGAGAGATCATTTTGTATCGAAACCTTTTACATGGACCCCTTTTCTTGGACCCTCAATTGGTGTACTTTTTAAAATATTTTAGGAAAATGTTTTGTTTCTTTACATTTTGGACGAAAGTTATAAAATCGTGTTATACTTTACTTTTTGCCTCTTTGTCGGTATATAACTGGAAGGTTTTATCCCAGATTATAGAACTTTCATGATCATGACAATCTTATTTCGATGATCTCATTCTTCCATCTAAATGTGCTGTTATGCTAACAGTTAATACATTTCTAGTTTATACTTCTCTAAAAATAAATACTTCTTGTTTTATTTGTCACATGACACAAATCTCAAGTAGATCTCAAAGATTTTGAAGTGCATGCTCATTTCTAAGATGAGTCATCTCGTGAAGTCTCCTCAAATATATCATTACTTATGACCTATCATCATGCAAATCTTAAAACTTATAACGTTATGATAAGGATATATCCTAAAATATATAAATATTTCACTCTTATGAAATTTAGTAATTGCCCTAACTTTTAAAACCTCATTTACCGACCTTTAGCCCGGCGTGTAGCATTCGGTGTTAAGTTCTGGCTGCTAGAACTATTGTCCTGTTGCTATGGTAACGAACCATTACCTCTATGGAAACATCGTAAACAACACATTAACTATAGAACTAATGTTTCCTAGTGTACAGGTGGCTCTTGCAGTCTAATATTGTTCAATGAAAGAATTTGAACTCAACTTTTTGATCTATATATACCCAAGTAATTATTCTAAAAACTCAGCTAAAGTCTCTGATTTTCCCAAAATAAAACATCTGCGACCTCATCTGAATCATGTGTTAATTTAGAACCTACATAATTACCATTACGAACCGAAAATTGCCGATCTCAAACACGGAGCCACCATAATTTCCCGCAAATCAGTTGCAGTAATTTTCCCAGACTCTGCGATGACAGTTGCTGACGTTAGACTATTATAGGTATTATTTAAAACGAAAATGGTTATGGTATAATCGGAACGGGTGTTAATAATTCTGATACACAGTCCACTGTTCAGCCTAACACTCTGTTTAGTGGATCGTGGCGCTAAGTGCAATTTATCAACAACACATTACAACACATTACGCATTTACGCAACTTCTCGAACAACTCAACATGAAACCTGAGAGTGGCTCAGCTCCTCCTCTTCATACATTGTGTGTACAGTGTACACTTATATAACTACTCGCAGCGGCCTCTATATATATCTGTATGTAGTACTATGTATTCTATATATATTATATAGTCACATCACGAGAGTCCGCTTACAGCTCCGTGTAGAGTGTCTATAGAATATACATCATATAATAGAATATAGATTACTATAATTACAGGTCCCACAGCAAGGTTTATGTCTATTTTACTATAGGAAGAAAGGGCAAACTCTAAAGAAGAACTGCGCGCTCTAATTATGTAGGATATACTATGAAGAGATATAATGTAGATGAGCCCTAATTCCGCCCTGGTACTAGTAACAGTATTAGTAGGATTAACGTGTGCTGTAACAGTGTCTGAGCTGCTTGTAAGTAAATACCAGTATGTTACCGTAATCCGCCCACCTTTATATCAGTCACATAAGTTACAAGCAAATATTTCCTGTACGAGCTGTTCGCAGTTACATTTTACTACTATACAGCTAAACGAATGAAATAGTTTTGTAAATCTCTGATCATTAACATATTATGGAAGTACCGTAGGGAGAAAATATTTTCATGTATCAGTTTTGTCTTATATAATGACTCATTGAAAAGTTAGCTATAAGGCTTAGCTCATTGTTAATGAGCTAAGCCTTATAGCTAACTTTTTTACTTATCACCCGGTATACCTTGTCCGTGTTACGGTGCTCGTAAATACACATCCAATAGTATATAAGAAAGTCTAGATGGGAGCTTATTGTTGAGATTTAAAGTAAATGGTCCATTCACAGAACACACAGAGCAGTTAAGTATGAAGGGAATACCCGAAATAGACCTTTATTTTAGAACGCCGTCCCTGGAGATGTTGGCTCGGCAACTTCTTAAAAATGCCAAATATTCTGCAAGTACGTAATGTTGGGATGAAGCCAACTGTCTCAGGTCTCTGGTTTGAAGCTCACTGTGGTAATTTGTGTAATTATATGATTACAGCATCGTTTATATCCAAATTTCTAAGTTTAAATATTGAAAAAGGGGTGGTATTAGTAGCTACGCACCAAGCTGTAAATAACCATGTAAATGTCACTGTAAATGCTGTATTTCAGCTTATTCTTTGTCAGATACCATTAAAAGCTGAAATAATACCAGTGCTCTACACCTCTCGGTGTAATGCCAATCTTTATGCTCCAGGTAGCAAAAGTAAAAGAGTTATTTACTCGCAGTCAAATACGATTAGAAATCTATTAATAAACGCGTCGTGTCGGGTGGTATTAAGAGAGGTTTGACAACCGTCGGCCTCGGCTCTCTAATCACTTTTAAGCAGCTTGTCAACCAGGGGCCAATCAGTGACGTGAACTGCCCTTCTGTTTGTCAGGATTAATTAAATACCTTTCTTACCTGTGCTAGACATTAACTTTTACAGGGATCCTAACTGGTTAATTGTCACATACCAATGAGAGCAAGCAGTTTTTATTAAAAAGGATTTTATTGTGTCTTAAAATGGGCCTGATTAATAAAAGAAATCGTTCTGCCTAATTTGTTCTCAAATAGACATAGCTAATATATTAGACATGTGTCTATGTAGAATATTTCCACCAACCCAGTGGTATAACATACTATACCCTGCTACCCTCGCTATCTGAACTACTTTGAAGCAGCCGAAGGCTTCAAGTCCAATAATCCACTTTTTTCTCTTTCGTCGTGATTATCGACGAAATTTAACTTCTTTCGGACTTCGTTTTCAGACTTTTTTTTTTGTTGGGGACTGGCCCGTGGTACCAGCCAATGTTTACTCAAAAAAGTATATATAATATCAATGGTAATAAGAAATTCATCCCCGTGGGGCACATGCATAAATATAAAATGTAAAGGAAATCTCAAACTATTCAATTTAGACTCTACCGGTAAAGTATGCAATGAAGGTTTATAGCTTAAAGTTTTATTTTCCAATGGTTAATAGGTAAAGATAAGAAAAGTAAAACAAGACTGAGCACTTCAAATTTGTAGAATTTGTAACTTGATTTGAAATCGCGGCGATAAAAAAGAATGTCCTATGTTGGCAGTGTAATTTATGAGATATGCGACGTTTATTGAGTGATGCATAAGTGTGTGCATATAATCTAAGATGTAGAGACAAGGTTATTATCGGCATTTTGGTTTATGTTACGCTTTGATTTTCTTAGTCCTGTTATACAATATAACATGAAATTAGGCCAATCGTCTTCGATGTTTTCATTTTGCTGATCGATGAGCATAGTTTTTATACAAGTTTTGTAAATGTTCAGGTTAAATAGACTAGGCGGGGAAGTTGCTGCAACATTATATCGGTTTATTGCTAATAATGGACCTTTAAAAAATACTGAGTTGTTGTAAGGGTGTTGACCATACTTTTCTGACCATTGTGTAGTGAGAATAGAATCCAGGTTAGTATTAAATAATGGTGCGCTTTTGGGAATTGTTTTCTTGAGAGACAATGGTACTAGATGAGGAAAGTTTTTCAATTTATGCATTAAAATGAGTGCGTTCTTTACAATGATACTGTGTACTGTCAATATTTTATGTGAATAAAAGCCAGACTTGGTACTTGCTGGGGGGATACCGTCCTTGTACCAGTAATTGACGAAACCAGGTAATACTGCTCGAAGGCCCATTTTCTGTTTTACAAAAAGCGATTCAATATGAGACTTGGCAGCAAAACCCCATACAAGGCTGCAATAATTAAGGTGTGACTGCACAAAACTTTGATAAATTTGAAGACGTGCTTCGAGAGGCAGATATTTTTTAAGTTTGTACATGACTCCTATGTATCTGGACATTTTCATTTTCATGGCAGAAATATGATGGGACCAGTTTAGTTTATCATCTATTATAACTCCTAAAAAACGGGCTTCTGTTTTTCTCTCAATTGTGACACCAGAAATTGCCACATCACGATAATTAAGATTTCTTTGTCGAGAGAAGATCATATAATTTGTTTTCTTAAGGTTGAGAGCTAAACCATTATTATCTACCCATTTAACTAAAGCATCGCTAAGAGTTATTAGTTTATCGTAAACTTCATTAAGATTTTCTCCTATCAGGAAGATGTTGGCATCATCTGCGTACATAATGAAATTGGCTATATCTGATATTTGAGGCAGGTCGTTTATGTAGATTATAAAAAGTAAAGGTCCTAATATTGACCCTTGAGGCACGCCGTATAAAATTTGGTTGGTTGAAGATTTTGACGAGCCAATTGATACAAACTGTTTCCTGTTAGTGAGATATGACTTAAACCAGTTTAAGGCTTGACCCCTTATGCCGTAATGGTCCAGCTTGCGCAAGAGTATGGAATGATCCACAAGGTCGAAAGCTTTGCTGAAATCGATTAAAAGAAGTAAAGTTACCTGCTTTTTAGACATTGAATTAAGAATGGTGTCTTTTGCGTTGAGAAGAGCATGTTCACAAGACCTACCCGGGCGAAAACCGTATTGGTTTTCACATAGTATGCTGTATTTATCTAAAAAACTTATAACTCGGTTATGCATTAGCTTTTCAAATACTTTAGAGAAAGAAGCAAGAAGAGATATTGGTCTGTAATTTTTTATGTCAGATTTAGATCCACCTTTGTGAATTGGGACCACCTTCGCTTCTTTCAAAGCCTGTGGAAAGATCCCCTGTTCAAAAGAACTGTTGACAACGTGGGCTAGTACACTAGTAAAACTGGGACAGCTGTTAGCGATTTTTAGAGGTTCAATTTTAGTGTCTAGTGTGGCTTTATTCTTAAGCAGGTTTATGACGTCCTGAATTTCTGTGGCAGTGACTGGCTTTAAGTAAATACTACTTGGAGTGGCGTTGCGAAGTGTGCTATGGGTTCCACCAGGATCAAAAGTGGTCCTACTACTAATTTCAGACTTAATTTTAGGAGCGATGTTTGAGAAGTAATCGTTAAATTTTTCTGCTACAGCTGCCGGAGTGCTGATTGAGCCGTCTTCGTCAGTCAGTTTAATTGAAGTAGGTTTAGATTTTTTCCTATTAAGAAGACTGTTTATCATTTGCCACTGCTTCTTAGAATTTTCTTTGTTTTGCTCAAAAAATTTTTTGAAGTGCTTGTTTTTAGCTTTATCGATGTGTTTATTACAAAACTTCTTCAG